CGGTCGCGGCGATGTGCTCAGAGATCATTTTCATGTGAGTAATCCTCGATTTTTAATTAATTTAGTACCTATGTCTCACGATAGTTATTATATATAAAAACATTTGGAAATTAATTTTATCCCCGAAGGGATAGGCAGAGGTGCACACAGAATTAACACCCACTTTTCACTTTTTATGTTATTAGTCCCATGTAATAGGGGGTGAGCCTATTGCCACATACCGGGCATAATTCCAGACTCCGTGCTACTACTGAGATTTTTTCTAAAAACCCAGTAATAGGTACTTTGACCGACCCGGAAATCAAGCCCGAGACCCCTTGCACTTGCAACCACACGGCCAACGAGGCAGTCGTTTTTATGAATTTCGTTTGTATGAATTTGAATTTCATACAAACGAAATTGGACAGTTCTGAAATGTTTACACTCTTTGGTGAAATTAATGGGTTGCTTTTAATTCAATGCTTTTAACGTTGCATTTGGCTCGTCAGTCGAGTTTCGTGTATTAGAATTATCGCATCGAATATGTTGTGAACTTACAAACTTCAGTGTGTCGTTGTATTATTTTTAAATATGCTGTTCTAAATTTAAACCGAAACGTGGCCTGATCTAATAAACGGGTGTCTTTTAATTGATTTAGTTCTTTGTCCTTAATAGGGCAAGGTTGATTTTCGTAGGCTTGTTTTCGTGTGAATCTTTTGTGCTATTTAAAACCAAGCAGGTAGCGATGTTAAAAGATATTATACTTAAAAAAGTCCATACAATTTAATTTATTTTTATTTTTTTTTTTATTTAACTTTATGCAACAAGAGAACATAGGCGGGCTTAATGCCATGGACATTCTTACTAGCCAACCTTTAGGTGATGCAATGAGAGCGTGGTCGTTGCAATAAGTTGACAACTTAAGAGTAGTGTTGTAACTTAACTTTAATGCATCCTAACTCGCTATATCTCATCTACTCTACTTTAATTTTTATAGAATATCATACGGTAGCTTGATTGCTTAAGAATTAACGTTCGTTAACTAATCAAATTTATTTATATATTTTGAGTGCCTCGTTGACCGATTGGTCGCAAGTGCGCCGGGCAAGGGCTCTCGGGTTCGATTCCTGGGTTGGGCAAAGTATTACTAGGTTTTTTAAAAACATCTTAGTGGTAGCACGGACTCTAGAAATGTGCCCGGTATATGGCAATAGGCTCACCCCCTATTACATGGGACTCATAACATAAATAGTGAAATGTGGGTGTTACATTGTACAGTGGCATTAACACGTTAAACGCCATGGCGGTCGCGGAGAACCTAACGGATAACCGGGGCTCCGGCTAGACGTGCAGGAGAAGGAACGGGGTGGTTTTTAATCAGTAAGAGTCTGGCACTCCCTCCCGCCTCACCCAGGCGGGAGAAGTCATTTGATGATTTTCACCCCTTAAAAAGAAACGCCATGGCGGTCACCGGTGACCGACGTTAACGTTAGCATTCTCCTTCAACAGTTTTATATTATCAGACAAAGCCTTAACTGGCCTAATGTGCATCTCTGCCTCCCTTCGGGGATCAAAGGCGTGATGTTATGTTATACTATGTGCGTTCATTATGAAATATTTGCAAGTGGCTACTTTAAACACCTGAAGGATATTATATTTTAAACGTTTTGTTTGATGGCACCGGTGATTATGTCGATCAATCAAAAAAACCACTGACGGCGACGGTAATCAGTATGATATAAAACTGTAGGTATTTTTTTTATTTTAATCAGTTTATTTTGGACGAGGTTTTTATCCTAGCTATAGGACATGGCAACCCTATTGTATCCATCATTAGCATAACTACAACTCTAATAAATTTTATAAAAATTAAAGGATAATAGGGCGACGTCAAGAATGAAGCTACTGTGGGAGCACTGAAAGTAAACTGCAAAACATCTTTGCTTTCTTAGTAGGTATTTTTGTCAGTAACTTCTTCAAACCGTTTGTTCATTAATAAAATGTCGTAACTGCATAAGATCCTAAATCTTACTATTCGCTACGATTGGTTATTTTTTGTTTTGTTTTACTTAATTTCTATATTTGGGTATTTTCCTGGGTCAAAAACACATTATTATGATTTTTCATTTTAATTGAATATTAAAAAATAATTACAATTTCATTCATATATTTGACGATAAACTTAATTATCGTTTTATTCTAGAGATTTTTTTAAGAAATAAATGTGCTATTTGAATCGAAAATATAATGACGTCATAAATTAGTTTTTGATACAAAATTCATAGAACAATATCGTTTGTGACGTTTCGATAAAAGTATTGAATTTGATTAGTTGTAAAATACCCTGATTCATGACCATCATATGGCATGACCATCCACTCATTGTTGAGGCTTCCTATGTTATGTTCGTGAGGATTTGCCACCCTCCCCATGGTTGGCCTTGGATTTAAAGTCACCAAAAATTAGGGCTGCTACTACCCGAAAGATAACGACAATTTATTTGCATAAACGTATGGCATTCATACAAAAGCATGCATGATGTTATTGTTTAAAATCATTGTCCTATATATTTCTTTCGCCTAGGGACGTACGACGCCAAAAATGTAACAATTCGTAAAGTATCATAATTATGTGAAAGATATATAAAAAATAATTAAGAAATAACTTAACACGTTAACCGCCACGTGGGTCACCGGTGACCAACGTTACTGAGGATTTGCCTTCAACTTCAACAGTTTACTGTCGACAGTCAAAGGCTTAAGAATATCACAGTTTTAAGAACCAGCATCTTATTTCATTTACTGTCCGCCGCGCAGGATTCAACTAAAAAAGTTTGTGGAATTTGTGGATCACACAAAAAAATGTTCCATGCATCATCGCACTATGACACAGTCATATTAAAACGTATAACAAATACCTACCACTTTAGGTATACCTAACCCACCTTTAATTCTAATTATTCGGGGAATTACCAACGCGTTGGCATTTAGAACTAGACGAGAATTGGTTCTGAATAACTTCAAAGTGCGCTTAGTGAGTCATTATTTAGGTAGGTATATGGGAATAAAACACAATATATATGTGGAGGATAAAGGATAAATTTACATGATCTGTTTTATTAGGAAATGAAATATAGGTTAACCCATTTTCAGACTCATTTACCTATGTGTTTCATTTCATTCAATGTCGTTCAATGGCATTATAAACCTAGGGGCCACTATATATACAATTTATATAAGCAGGTACTAGCTTTTACCCGCGGCTTCGCTCGCGTCACAAAAGGATAAAACCAATGTGACATATACCAATACACACAGTCCCATCTATACCAATACTTTTGTTTTTCCTCCGAAATATCAATTTTTCCGGGATAAAACCCTATTATTTAATCCGTATTTCTAAGTTTACGTCTGCAAAATTTCAAAGCAATCAGTTTAGTAGTTACGGCGTGAAAGCGGAACAAACAAATAAACAAACTCACTTTCCGATTTATATTATTAGTAAGGATGTATAAATTTACACAGTTACAGAATAAGACCTGTCATACCTACTTCGAAAGCTAAACCGGTTTTTTGTGCGAAAGTTCAATGTCCAATGATGAAACAAAGTTTTAAAAGTCATACTCAGTATTCAAGATAGAAAGCATAGAAGTATGCAGTATAAAGATTGTAATAATATGTATTTAGTGTTGATTCATGAGTTCTTTGAAGAAGCGTGGTAAATAATGCTCATTTTTCGTCTGAGAAGAGGCTTTTAATCAGCAGTGAACACTTATCGTCTGATGGTAATAGTGATTATGATTTAATTTGTAATCGCTGACAAAGAAATGGTTTTACCAACATAACCCTAAAGAAGTTAGCAAACTGTGGGCGGGTAGCATTTGTCGAAGAACCGATGGCCATTTGGATAAACTTGTTGTGAAATTTAGATCACATCTACACAAACGCTAGCTAGATAAAGTAACGATATCCGCAAACTGGCTATATGTACAAGGAGCTGAAAATCGAGGGCAATGATGTTTTACTCGATAGGCCTATGTCCAGCAATGGATAGAAAACGGAACAATGTTGAAGAATTAAAAAAAATGATAACACTCGTATAATAGTACTCGTACTTATGACGTAATGAATTAATACAAAACTATGTGTACGTACATTCATAAAATCCAATACCAGTATAACATTCAAATAAAACAAAAAATTCTTAAATACACTTTAAAATGTAAAAGATGAGAAGAGAATTCAATTTTATGACGTCGCAGACCAACTTTTTATTTTAGGCTACTCAATATGAGTTACTTCTAATGTAAACAACGAAAACAACATCAAAACCGGTTCAGCCGTTTCGACATAAATTATAAATAACAAACAGATAGATGTAACACAGATACCTCTTTGTATGCTCACAAGGAGGCATAAAGTAATCACTACTGACTAGTAAATAAACAGTCATAAATATAAGTATTACAACATATATGAGAAGCTGATCAAAATAGTCTACAAATGTACCTGCTACTATGCAAGCGTTAATAAATATTTTTTGATTGTGAAATTAAAGCATCTCAGACACCTAAATAAGTATTTTGAGTTTGTTTTGTAACATATTAAATGTTAATTGAAACGGTTATATAATTATAACGATTATTTCAATATGACTGTGAAATACCTATCTAAAAGCCAACTGACTAAAAATAAATATGCACTTAAATCCATGTACAATACATTAGTAAAAATCTTTTCCTTAAATACAATTTAGTTGCGAAGTGTTTAATTAGGTAGATACATTATTTTGGTAGATTACTCATCCTGCAATGGGGAAAAAACAATGAAAAATATTGTTGTTTCAAATAAATTAATACGCACACGCTAACAGTGTCTACAACCAGTAGGCAATCTAACGTAATTGTTATTTACCGTGCGACGACGGGAAACCCTTGCGAAGTAAACTTGAATTGACAGTCACTACTAGGCCTGCGCACGCGACGATCGTACCGAAAGGCGCAGGCGCTGACCCATAACAAAATGCAGACGATAATAGTGTTTATTGTGTTCACAATAATAACTCAAACTGTATCACAATGTGACGAAGAATATAGTGTAGAATTAAAAAACCGGATGTATAAAGGTGTTAAATATGAACCAGATGAAATAATAGTGGATAATGTGACTAAAGTAGAAAGGGGATGTGTGTGTTTGAAGGAAGTTTGTGCCAAAAAGTGCTGTCCCTTAGGCCAAGCGTATAACAGGGAGCTGAAGATATGTGTCGACATCTCTAAACCATTCAATCCTCCGGTCTATAGAGAGTATCAGTTGTTACCAGGATACAATGCGACGAAGGAGTTACACTTTTTCTACGGAAAAATGAACTGTTCGGATGAGCTAGAAGAAATTAGAGTCCCAGTAGCTCCTGCTTCGTACAATTTTCATTTAAGAACGGTGAGAATTTTATATTTTTCTTAGTGATGATATCCTAGTACTTCATTTTTATTTTTGCCAATAGAACCGCAGTATATGATGGATACTCGTACCAACAAAACACATCGCAAACTTCGTGAATAACATTCGTGAAAGTAGTTTTTAATAGATTTATTTTTTGCTTTATCGACGCATAGCAACTTTCTTTCCTAATTAATATACTTCTAAGTATATATACATAGATACATAATAGTGTAAATAAATATCAACGATTGCTTTCAAGACTATGATAAGTAGTTGTTTTTTAAATGTCTCTTTCATTTTCTTACCTGAATTGTTATCAGGTATGTTTTTAATATGTTTTTTTATATGTATGTAATTTTACAGTTTAATTCTCCACGGACTCTTGGTCCGAATTGTAGATAATATGTTGCAAATCAGTAACTAAAGTATTTAGTATCAATTTTGATGTATTATGTATAGGCATACTTCATTTCAAATAGGTATCTACATATATGCAAGAAATGCAAGCATGCAAGTTATTTCTATTAGCGACCAATTAAATATGTCATGTTAAAACAACGGTTTTTTAAAATAAGATGTCTACCGCTTTTACGGTAAAAGCTAGTTTGTTTACAGTTTTTATTAGTTTCATTGAAGATAAAATTATAAAAATGGCTTATTGTTTTGATACGTTCAATATAATAATGTAAGGATCAACTTGAGTACCGTAAAATGGGATGAATAAGGATCTAGAAGTGAATATGGACTGAAGAGGGGTGAATAAATATTGGGATATTCTTCATAGTATTGATTCAATCATCTTCTGTATGTATTCACCTTTCAAAGCCGCGGAAAACCTAACGGGTTACCGGGGCTACGGCTCGCAGTGCAGGAGTAGGAACGGGGTGGTTTTCGTCAGTAAGAGTCTGACACTCCCTCCCGCCGCCTAGGCAGGAGAAGACATTCGATGATTTTCTCCCCTTAAAAAAAATTACACATCGTACCCTATTCACACTTTTTACCGTATGCACCTTTCTGATCTTTCAGAAAAATATCCACTCTTACGATAATAAAAGTTAGTTGCGAAACGGCAATGTCATCATTATTGGTATGTACAATGAAATCACCAGGTTAAAACTTATTGGTTATGACCTGTTTTCCAAGCCGGCCCTTAATTCGGTAATGTTTTTAAAACACGAGTGGTTTGCCTTCGAGGACCGCGTAACTTATTAAGGATTGAATAAGTCGCTTGGCAAAACAACGAAGATATTATTATACCTACATATTATAGTACTAATTTGCGGTAATAAACTACGGCATTTCATTCTTATACTCCGAAAACGGTAGCCTAATTCCTCTCCTCCCCAATTTCCCCAATCATAAACCTCCAAACCCCAATGCGCAAACCCCCAAAAGACCGACAATGCACTTGTGACTCCTCTATTGTTGCAAGTGGCCATAGGTGCTGCTGACAGCTTATCATGAGGTGATCGCTTTGCTCCTAATACTCCCAAAAAATAGCTAAGAGTTTTGGAAATATCTATGCATTGTACATACATGTAGGTATACAAATTCGAACAAAGATTTTGTTTCATCCCGACTTAATGTTCTACCTTGTGACATTAGATACGCTAATGGCAGTTGATAATAATTCAATTAGTTAAATACTCAAGCAATTTATCAATCAAGATATCGGAAGGAAAAACACCTTATTAACTGACAATAGTAGAATTATTAAGACTTTTCGGGATATCGATTTTTTTTGTTGTAATCGAATTGTGGATGGTGTATATCAGTAGCCCGGAATACGGAAATTAAATATAACATATGGTGAAATGACGATGTTTTAATGTACTCGTTGCATTGAATCTTTGCCTATTCTTTGCCAGAGTCTGTATTTCTTGAAGAGTAAATATGTAACCTGGGTGTCTTCAAGGCTCGAGTAAATAGGTTGCTTATGCGACGACGTGCTCCATCGTAAACCGCATCATGTCGGTCTATCGAATATAAAAGAAACCTCCAATCGTATGTTATGTATATCTCTAAACCTAAAATAACCTTCATAGTTACCTAATTGCCGACTTTGTCGTTATTTGCACTTGCACTCATGCGAGGCTACAACCAAATGCCATCGAATATTCTTCATTATGCTTTAGCTGTTTAATAAATTCACATTTTAATATTGAACCGGTTAATATATACGTATTTACTTACGTAGACATAGGTATAATCAACCAGTTTAAAAACCTGTGTTTACGGTCTCAGGCATCCTAAATTTTATTAAGTAGATTTATTTTAAATTATTAGTAACATAAGAACAACCAAACAGTGTGGATGTGTGAAATAGTATTTGACAAAATGAAAACGATTTGGCCAACGTTGGCGATAATATTTGCAATTATTATTGGAGTACATTGTCAAAAACAGCCTTGTAATTATTATGCTAGTGCCGAGTTAATTAATGGTTCGTATCTTGGACACACGTTCAATGAAAGTGAAAAATTTATCACTGATGATGGTAAAGAGAGAGGTTGTGTGTGTCTCAACGACAGACGTTGTATTAGAAAATGTTGCCCTTTCGGCACGGCCTACAATGTCTCAGTAAAACAATGCATGGAGTTACCTGGTCAAAATTATTCGGACCGATTTGCGTTATTTCAAGATGATGTTAGAGATAATTATTACTTTTTAATTGGTAAAATGATCTATCTACAGGTACATGTAATTTGGTCTATTATGTTTTAGAATGTAGGTATCTACATTCTAAAACATAATAGACCAAATTACATGTAATCTCTATCATCATAAAGTCCTAATTTATTTAAAAGACTGAAGGATCGTGTATAGGGAATTATATGAGACTCATAAGATACCCAGGTAGTGAAATGTGGGGTGTTATATTATATATGTGCAGTAACGTGGTCATCTGAAGACTCTAAAAAAAAAATTAAAAAACTATTATAATATTTAGACAAAGACAACACATCAATCTACAAAAACTTTTAATAGATTTTAAGTTTTATGGTGTTGTAACACAGTCGATAATTTATTGTATAAAAAACTGTCCTTTATTTATCATCTGTTTTGGTATAAAAATGTATGACAAACCATCATGTCCTTTGACGGTTGGTAGCATATTTAATGTACAGTTTGTAAAAACATTTTTACGTGTTAGACAAAATCATATAACCGGAAGAATAAATTTCAACAATGTTCATACGTTTTCGACCTTATTACAAAACGATAGAGTTGAATCAAATCAAATATTTTTTGTGCACATCGTCGATCTAGCATCAAATGGACAAGAAACTTCATTGTTCGTTGACGTCTGCCAATCAGTTCCGGAATGAACTTTATAATAGTCACATAGTGTTGTGTGTACTGTCTGCTACAGAGGCCTTAGTACGAGTAATCGTAACGAGTACGCGTTCTGCGCTCTGATTGGTTGTTTCATTGGCGCCGGCCAATCAGAGTGCCGAACGCGTACTCGTTTCGAATACTTCAAACGTAAATCAATCTCGTACTAAGGCCTCTGTAGTCATTTTAGCCGGTTCTTAAAAACCTGTTCCAATACCTAATTTAAAAGACATTGAAAAGTTCTAGATTGTCATCGGTGTTGTTCTAACATCGATCAATAAATAAAAGAACTAGAAAACACGACACGTACAAAATTAAAACCTAATATTATCTGCATAATAATCATATTTGTTTGCTTAACATTTTCTTTTCAATCTAATAACAACCATTGCACTTTGTATTAGAGTTACAAATCCTTAAAAAAAACCTATGTGTAAGTAATAGAAAATGGCATTGAATAATATAATGTCTAACTAACACAGTTATATTAAGCTAACAGGACTATTCGCTTCAACAGCGCCATCTATGATCATTATAAAAACTGCACTAACTACCTAACTGTAAGCTAACGCGGATCAGTTCATACTAATCATTTAATTTGAACTTGAAGTATTTACAAAAGCAGAAAACTCAGTCGGGACAATTTTGTCTGATCCGACAACCAAACTTGAACTTGTCCCTCCATATTCTTCGCTTGTGAACAGGTACGAACAGTTGTGAACGGTTTCTACTTGAGCAGGAGTTTGTCCACAACCAAAATCACAAACTTACTGTAAACACCTTACGTTAGAGTGTCGACAATGACGCTGATGGTTGTCATGAAAATACCAAACTAAAAGTGGTATCTCTGACTATTGCAATAAATTCTTGGCATTTCTCCAACTGGGTTAGAGAGAGGACGTTTTACATGAATTATTAAAGGTCTACATGTTGGCAAAGGTATATCTAATTATCGTAAACAATCTGTGATAGTACTAACTATAGTGGACAGATGGGCATTGCTAGATAAAAGGGTTTCCCATAATTTCTAAGCGAGTAAGGACACATATTTTATTCTGCAAGGCTTATTTTTACTTGGAATGCTAATTCGCAATGGATATTTTTCTCCTAAGGTCTCTTATTAGGGGCTATTTTTGGAACTATGTTAAAACTGAGGATCAAATAAAAGCATTTTGTTCAGGATATAATTTAATACTCGTTGAACTAGATGATGTGTTTGGAATTGTAAAACCTTATTCAATTTGTCTGACCCGGACTTCAAGCCGGATTTAAAATCACATTGATCGATCTGTTAATGAGTCTTCAGATTTACCGACCTACTGTCCATTATACTAATCTATCTACATAATACTGAAAATGTACCGAATGTACGAATATAATGTATTCGGCTAGGGGTCGAAATTCTAAATATTTGATCAACATTTATTTGAAGTACCTTGATATTAATAGGTACTTCAAATACAGTAGAGTACTATAATATTAATTATGAGATTCGTTTATTTATTTTTGAAAATAGTAAACAATAGTACCTATATAATCATATAAGTACGTACATACGTACGTACGTACGTACATATTTTTCGTTGATGCAGTTTTTCTCAGTTGGCGATCGCTCAACCAAGCAGATAGACGATGACATAAAAACAAAACTTGAATGAAGTAAAAGTTTATATCAAATCAATATATTACCTTTTTTATGTATTTGTATGTTATTCTATTCGATTAGAATGTGTGCTATTTGGCTAACAGAAACTACTTACTTAACTTCGAACCCGCGATCCATGCTGTCGAGTTGAAGAGTGCCTACGTATCACTACGAGCAATTATTACCATTGAACTTTTTATGTACCTGAAGGCGACTGGGCATCATCAGCAAAAAACCCACACTTTGCGGTCCATAGAAGAACTAGTCGATCAATTTTACTGTATAAGTAAATAAAGACCTACGATCTCTTATGTTATTCTATCTTTATTTATTGGATTATATGTACTTACATTATGACAAATTAATAACGAGTGTTATAGAATAATTTACATTATTATTTTTTTGTTATGTAGCCGACAGTATCTTCAGAAGTATTAAAAAAATGTAATATTAATTAAAAGATACGTTGATATCACTCTTAGTTTCTTACTCCGTGCCTCCGGGCTCAGCAACACAATGTGTCTATCGTGAATATGAAACAAAAATCTTTGGCCTTGGATTGTATGTACTATAACCAATTTTTGCCGGTCACATAATAAGTGTTATTATGTACTAACTCATAATAGGAAGATACTCAATGACATAACTGATTTTCGAGAACCTTGTGTATCCGGGTAGTAAAATTTTTATATAAAAATGTTAATGGAATCTGCTCAATGTTGAGTCAGAGCGGTTGCCTCCATAATCGGTGGATAGGTACATATCGTATCCTTGAAGTCATTAAACCGTGGTTGCGCAAAAAAGCTGCGTCTCGCTCCCACGACCGCGTGTAATCGCTTTGTATTTACCCGCTAATGATAACAACAAACACCTTTTCCTTCTATCTTAATATATTTTATACACCTCATAAATTATCATAGATACTATTATTATTCTTTTGTAACATAAATAAAATATTATTTAACTAGCTTATCTGTCGCGGAGAACCTAACGGGTTATCGGGGCTCCGGCTCGACGTGCAGGAGAAGGAACGGGGTGGTTTTTAGTCAGTTAGAGTCTGACACTCCCTCCCGCCTCACCCAGGCGGGAGCAGTCATTCGATGATTTTCTGCCCTTAAAAAAAAACTAGATTATCTACCTCTGTACCAAATTTGATTTCGGTCCCTTCAGCGGTTTTTATGTGAGTAGATAACAAACATACTCACAAACTCACGTATTTTCACATTTTTAATATCAGTTCAAGCAAATTTCAACCATCGGTCCTACAGTTACAGGGTAAAGTCCACTGCGGTCAACCTAACATTCAACAATTTTTTTTTAAAAAAAACGTTGCCCCACATTAGGATTTTCTCCTGTGTCGTGGGTGCGTTTACAAACATATAAGTTCACATACTCAATGACACCCAGACCGGGAACAACAATTTGCAGATCACACAAAGTGTTGTTGCGTGCGGGAATCGAACCCGCGACACGTTGCACGGCAGCCGGTTGCCCAGCCACCGCACCAACCGTGCAGGCGATTTATTACGTGTATATATATAAATTTTCAGGAAAAAAGTAGTCAGTGTTGTGCCTAGAATATTAAAATATATTTTTAGCAAGTTTCATTGTAATCGGACCTGTAGATAGTATTTGCATGATGCATGAACATACGAACAGATAAAAAAAAATTAATCACATTTTTACGTTCGGTGTCTATCTAGAGACACCCCCATACTATTTATTTTTTTAATATTTGCAATGTAATATAATATTCTTAAGTGTGGGAGAGCCATGCTTCGGCACGAATGGGCCGGCTCGACCGAAGTGATACCACGGCTTCACAGAAAACCGACGTGAAGCAACGCTTGCGTTGTGTTTCATCGTGAGTGAGGTTACCGGAGGCCCAATTATCCTCCCATTCCCCAATCTTCCCAATTCCTGAATCCCCAACGATCCTCAAACTCCTAATCCCTAAAAGACCGGTAACGCACTTGTAACGCCTATGGTGTTCCAGGTGTCCATAGGCGACGCCGATTGCTTACCATCAGGTGATCCGTCTACTCGTTTACCAACTTATGCCATAAAAAAAAATATATATTTACACTTCTTCAGTTTTGTTATAATTGTACAGATATATAATGTTCACCTCTACTTAAATCAACCAAGAACATAGTTGAATTATGTGTGTAATTTAATTACGTACCAAAGAAATGTAAATAAATTGTTCTTAAATTAACAAATACTGGTCTCATCCAGACGCAGAACAACAATTTGCGTTATAATTATGATAAGTATATTATTAATTATAACCTGTATGTATTCTCTTTGCAGGATGGGAAGCTGTACGTGAAAATCGATACTTCTGTGAAGGTCCTAATCTATGATGCGAGCAAATACTGCATCGACACGTTTGTCTCTGACACTGAGGAACCACACCTCAATGCCCTCATCTGCTTTGTCCCGAAGCCGGAACATAACAACTATACTATGAGCAGCAGTTGTAAGTACTACTATAATATAATATAATTATATCAGTATCATTAATTACAGTACCTTAATATTATAAAATGTTATATTGGTGTATAAATGACTGCCTCGTTGGCCGAGTGGTCGTAAGTGCGACTGCTGGGCAAGGGGTCTCGGGTTCGATTCCCGGGTCGGGCAAAGTATTACTGGGTTTTATTCAATTATTCTCAGTAGTAGCACGGAGTCTGGAATTGTGCCCGGTATATGGCAATAGGCTCACCCCCTATTACATGGGACTTATAACATAAATAGTGAAAAGTGGGTGTTACATTGTACAGTCAGTGGTACAATGTGCACCTCTGCCTACCCCTTAGTTAGGGGATAAAAGGCGTGATGTTATGATGATGATGTTATGAAACCTGGTTCTTCAGTAACTTCACTCATTCAGCGAAATACTATGTAATAGTTGCTTAAGGCCAGTTTGCTGTGAGACCGTCATATCGGTTGAGCTGACCCATTTGCATCAAAGTATGGCTCCCTGTGACTGCCTCGTTGGCTGAGTAGTCCCAAGTGCGATTACCGGGCAAGAGGTCTCGGGTTCGATTTCCAGGTCGGGCAAAGTATTGCTAGTTATTTAAAAAAAATCTCAGTAGTAGCACGGAGTCTGAAATTGTGCCCAGAATATGGCAATAGGCTCACCCCCTATACCATTACATTGTACAGTGGCATTAAGTGCCGTAATGTGCACCTCTGTCAACCCCTTCGGGGATATATGGCGTGATGTTATGTTATGGCTCCCTTACGTAAATATTTTATTTTTACTAGCATCTGCCAGCACCTTCACTCGCTATCATGAAGGATAAAATGTAGCCCATGTATTATTCCAGCCCATAATCTACCCCTGTCAGAAATTTCATCCTGATACCTTCAGCAGTTTTGGCGTGAAAGAGTCCAACAGACATCAAGTTTCGGATTCACTAATATTTCGTTTTTCCAGGTATGCTGATATCCTGTTTCTTTATTCTCCTTACGGTGGCAGTGTACGCATGGTTGCCTGAACTGAGAAACCTTCATGGAATGGTGCTGATGGCATACCTACTCAGTTTCTTCGTCGGCTTCCTGTTCCTAGCCACTATGCAGATCCTTATCTTATTGAAGGAGATATCCGAAGATATCTGTATCGTTCTAAGTAAGTACCTACCTAATTTTTTTAAGAGGGTAAATCCTCGCATGTCTCCTCCCGTCTGGGTGAGGCGGGAGGGAGTGTCAGACTCTTGCTGGCTAAAAACCACCCCGTTCCTACTCCTGCCCTTCTAGCCGGAGCCCCGGTAACCCGTTAAGTTCTCCGAGACTCCGTATCGGCATTAGCCCTATTGGGCCTAATCCGTGGTGGTCTGATGACTTTTTAAGTTGCGCGCCGAACGCGACGCGCCAAGTACCTACCTATTGGATTATATTTTTACTATCTTAGTTATTCCACTCTAAAAGGGTGTTGTGTTCTAGAAAAACAATAAGGAGTCGTGTTTATATTTGAAAGCGCTTAATTTCTTGTTTATTATGAATTAAAAAAGAAATATGAACATCCGTCCTTTTATACCCTGAATGGGCAGGCAAAGGCGAGCATGTCAAATAATAATGGTGCACTCACAATTCACCAGTTATCAACCTTTTTTTTATGGCATAAGCCGGTAAACGAGCAGACGGATTACATGATGGTAAGCAATAGGCGTCGCCCATGGACACCTGGAATACTAGAGGCGTTACAAGTGCGTCACCGGCTTTTTGGGGATTAGGAGTTTGAGGATCGTTGGGGATTCAGGGATTGGAGAGATTGGGGAAGGGGAAGGTAATTGGGCCTCCGGTAACCTCACTCACACGATGAAACACAACGCAAGCGTTGCTTCACGTCGATTTTCTGTGAGGCCGTGGTATCTCTCCGGTCGAGCCGGCCCATTCGTGCCGAAGCATGGCTCTCCCACACTTCAATTAAACTGTTGCCATACTATGTATATTTTTGTTTATGGGAAACCGTTAAACACTTTGCTTGAGCAGGGATTCAGGAGTCCTCTTGTTAGATAGTGGCGCATGCAATAATTCAACCAAAAAGGTAGGACCTGAAGTAGTAGGTAGGTTTTTGTAGGAGGAAAATATCTCCCAATAATATAATAAATGTTAGCGTTACGGCAATTAAACTTCGCAAATATTATTCTGCGTATTATTTAAGTAATTAAGTAGGTAAATTATTTAATGATGTTTATGTCCAAACAGGTATCGTCACCTTGATTTATTTTTTTCCACAATAGAAAGGGTATTATAATTCTGTTAAGTTCACATAACAACCTTCAATTCGAAAAAAAACTGTTTTAGATGTTAAAAAATACTGTTTTAGTGATTTTCCGTAGAACAAATATCGTAGTTCCAATATTCAAGGATTAAAATAGATCATTTGATTTTACGATTTTAAAATGTTCATTTAGTAGAAATTATATGTAAATAATAGCAATTCGGTAGGTGTTTTAAGCGTTTTTACCTACATCTGCTGACAACTTCTTCAAGGAACACACGCAATGACAAAAACTAATACTTAACCACAATTATTATGACAAATTAGTTTGTCATCAAGACTGTACAATAATTGCCTTCGTTCGTATTTGCGTTCCTTCCGTCCGGCTGAATAGTTACCAAGAAGTACAATATAAATGTTACTCTAAGGACTGTCTCACTACTGTTTAATAATTTTGTGTAATGGTGAAAACCTAAAGAATATTTTTTTAAAATAATAATTGGTTTTCAACAATGTTTATATACATTTTGACCAATAGTATGGGTGCATCATTAGGTGAACCGGCACATACTTTCATACATATCGTATTGTATTGTCGCGGAGAACCTAACGGGTAACCGGGGCTCCGGCTCGACGTGCAGGAGAAGGAACGGGGTGGTTTTTAGTCAGTAAGAGTCTGACACGCCCTCCCGCCTCACCCAGGCGGGAGCAGTCATTCGATGATTATCCCCCCTTAAAAAAAAATTGTATACGTTTGATAGGTAGGTACAAAAATATACACCAATAAGAGTACAGGAAATTTCACTAAAAGTTTTATGTTAAAAATTATAAAATCGGTTCTTCTTTTCTACTTTATATCATGCGACTGCTAGCAGCCATATTGTGAGGAATACAAAGAAAAGCAAAAGAAAGAGATTAGCACACACCTCCTCTAATTTGGCCCAAGGTCGAAATTATCAAACATTCAGACAATATTAACGTCAGCTCATTTTAAAAAGTCATAATACAAACATTTCATAACATCTTTCATTCGTTTTTGACGTTCAGTTTGCAGTTCATATCATAAGCAGATTTCCACAATTTCGCTTTTTAGACTCCGATGTGAAAGTGGATATCCACAATACATCTTTATTATTGAACTAATTATAATTTAAATAAAAACTGCGTTTAAAAAACCGACTTCAAAAAACCAAATACTAATAACAAACAAAAAGTCAAAACTAAAAAGCAAAAAATAACTATTATTAGTACTGATAGGATAGAAGTCGGCGCCATGCGCGAACACACAAAGAAAAAAACAATCAGCCGAACATAGTACCTCCTCCTTTTTTTGAAGTCAGTAAATGAAAAAAATAAAAAACATATATAACTTAAGATACAATTAAAAAACCGACTTCAAAAAACCAAAAAATAACTATTATTAGTACTGATAGGTTACCCACCCACTGATAGGTAAGAAGTTGGTGCCATAAGTTCCATACAAAATTATTCATTAAAACCTTAATAGGTACCTAATTCACAATTTTGTGGGCATTAAGTTATATCATTATGTTATGAGCTTATGGTACCGACTTCTAACCTATCAGTGGGTGGGTAACCTATCCCTATTTTTTGGTTTTTTGAAGTCGGTTTTTTAAACGCAGTTTTTATTTTATTATTTTATCATTTTCAGTGTAAAGCTACATAATTATACCCGTTTTGTTACTTATAATCTACATAGGTGCAAAGTTCTAATCAATACAAATTATACAAACCCAAACACAAGGTAGCTACAGTATACCGTTGAGGAGTTCCCTTAACAATTACACTTCTTCATCATCAGACCCTTAATGACAGCCTCACTCTATCCAGGTGTAAAGTCCTCATCAACACAAATTAATCAAGCCCAAACACTAGGTAGTTACTGTATACCGTTGAGGAGTTCCCTTAACAATTACACTTCTTCATCATCAGACCCTTAATGACAGCCACACTCTATCTAGGTGTAAAGTTCTCATCAATACAAATTAATGAAGCCCAAACACAAGGTAGTTAATATAAACCGTTGAGGAGTTCCCTCGACTGTCTGTCGGCTCTATCATCAGGTCGACTCCAGACCCTTATCAAATTGTAGTGTTTAAAAATCGTAATTGAAAAACATAATAGACGCATTACTCGCCCATAGAATTTTCGAAAGTGTCCCTCGGTTTCCCTAGGATCCCATCATCAGATCCTGACTTCATGGAAGGAAATGGGACCATCTCGGGAGTATACCCTTTCAAATAAAACAAGAATTTTGCAAATCGCTTCACGCATCTCAGAGTTATGCGCGTACATACATACAAAAAAAAACATACCGACCGAACGTATAACCTCCTCCTGAAGTCGGTTAAAAAGATAAAAATCAAATAAAAAAAAAACTAAAAATAACTATTTACACAGAACATCGAAGAATTCGTCCGCATCGACGTCAATAAGGAAAGTACCCAGGAGGTTTCATAACAATACATGATTATATTTTTATAAACACTCGATTTTCACCAATTATTGTCACCTAACACGCCCACTTCCAGACTCCATGTTATTGCCAAGTCATTCGGAAAAACCTAAAAAGCACAATGAGACTAGTCAGACCAAAATTACGTACTCTTTGCTTAAGAAATGAAGTTTCGCATTATAAAATACATACCATTGCGGTTAGAAATATTAATATTCTCTATCATATCCACAAGTGTAAAAAATGTGGTATACCCAAACCAGCGAGTAATTTACCTATGTATATACTTCTTAAACGAACAGAGCATTAGTCAAACATATGTATAGATAAATAATTATACTAATATTATAAAAGTTTCTGTGCCTGTTTGTCTGTCCGTCTTTCACAGTAGAACGGAGCTAGAAATTGACGTGGTTTTTTTAAGTGGAGATAGTTCAAATAATGGAAGAACAAAATTGTGACCAATAAAACAATCGTGCACCATTTCCATTTATTTATTTATTTATTTATTATGTACACACATTTATCATAAAGAACAACACCTATATAAAATTAAAGAACAAAGGTACCACCTATTCCTATTGAAATTTCTTCCAGTGGACCTGGGGCAGGAAAAGTGATTCTTTCAACGCGAGCGAAGCTGCGGGCAAGAAGATAATAGTTATGTATATGATTTTCCTTATGATATTGAATAAGGAAAATATTGACTAAGTTTACACCTACGCTGATCTACGACAAGTTTTTTTACATAGAAATAACTGAGCCCGCCACTTCGTCCGCGTGGAATAGTGATTCACAGCTCCTTCCCCATCGTTGATAGCATGATAATATTATTATGTAGCCCATATGTTGACCCGACCTGTTAGTAATATTCATGCAACAATTTTTGAGTTCATCCCGGCCATACCACAGAAAATATTTATGTATACCTCTAGATATAGATATAGGTACTTGAGTACTTCTATGAATGCCTTGCCGGCCCATCCAGCTTCTGTTATTAATATTAAATGTATACCTATTTTAGGTAAAGCAGTTAGCATTATTTACATTTTGTCTATCTATCTGTTTGTTCTGGCTAATCTCTGAATTTTTTGCACCGATTTTGACATATTAGTAACTTAGGTAACATTTAATTGTGTGTAACTCGAGCGAGATCCCTTTCCGAGCAATCACACTTAGTTAAATAATAATGTACTTTTAAGCTCATTTTTAAGGTAGTTTTCTTTTACTACTTTTACTTT